ATTTTTTGTTTTCTTTAATTGCCATTTATGTTAGTATTTTATATGGATGCTTTGTTATATTCCTTGTAAGTTGCTGAGAGCTGATTGATTATGGTGGGGTATAAATTCAAAAAATAAATATTTTCTACTTGCACTTTTCTCTTTGGGTCGCTTGTGTGAGATTACAGTTCTCCTTAGCACAGCTTATGTAGACTCACCCATTGGGAGAGATGGGCGGCATACAAATTTGAAAAATAAAATAAATAAATAAAATAAATAAAATAACTCACAAATATGGACCAAGCCAGAATACTTTTGTTAAGTATTCTTATATATTAATATATGTATCATTACATGATTTAAACAAAGTCATATATGTAGAATACCTTTTAAATAAAAGGAATAAAATAAAATAAATCAAATAAGCTCTTAATGTGTTCAGTGAATACAAAAATTCACTGTTGGGACATTCCTCCAAAAAGGGAAAGGAAAGAAGGGATAGGAGGCAGAACTGACAGGAATGCTTTAACTGGCTATATTTTCTCAAAGAATCCAATTGTCATCTCATATTAGGCAACAAAAGTACATAATACTGCTCTCATGTTGCACATACAAGAACTTTCCAAGTCTCTTTGTATCTCTCTCTTGTTCTACTGTGGAAGCTGTCTTAGGTAAAGATTTTAAATGTAAATGGAACTAATGTTAAAGTTTTATGATTTGATGCTAATTAATCAACATCCAAGTGGAATTAACATTCTTCACAATGGAAAAACATTCAGATTATGCAATGGTATTAATATACATAATGGATCAAATTAACACATCACTCAGTACTCAAGCACAATATTTATTTTATTTTCCTTGATAAAGCGATATGACCTTGTCAGTAGGTAAATAATTAAGCAACAATTTAAAAATTGAAATATGTTGTTTGAATCAGAGTAACACATGGGAAATGGACAATAGGAAAACAAAATCAAAATATATTTTTACTGTACAAAAAGTCTAAATATTGCAATGACCTATAAGGTGAAGAAATAATCCTTCACATATGATGCCAAAGGCAAGGCATTAGCACCAGATTCTCTCTCACATACAGCAAACAATAGAGATTATTATAAAGTATATACACAGAAGAGGGAATCCCTTTACTGGCCCTTTCCAAAGAGCCTGCCAAAAAAAGAAAACATAAAAAAAAAGTGGCAAGCTTAACCAAAAGTGATGATTAAATATATTATTATGCAAAATAAAATATAATTATACATCAATTTCTGTACTGCTAAGTCCATATGACTTATATGATTTAATGCAAATTACTGGGTACATACTGAAGTTATATTCTGAGTGCACATATACAATTTGAACCACCAAACTTTTATCTCCTTAAACAGTTAAAGAAAAAAGTTTACATTTGATTGGAATAAAAATGGTTGCTTTATATTGTGTATATGTAAGGATTAAATCAGAGACAAAATGGAACATCTGTCTAATATGGTTTGGAGAATGCATCTCATGATAATGACAATTTGCCAGATGTAAATCGTAGAGAAAATTGTTAAAATAATTATACCAACATGGCCACTGAAAGAAATGGCAAGAGATGTATGAATTAGCACTGATATTTATGGGAAGAAACCAAGCAAGAATGTATGGTTGCAATCCTATACGTGTGTGTGTTGAAGCATGAATTCTAGGATGTTTGCTTCTGAGTAGACATGCATAGGATTTCCTGATATCTTCTTATGAAAAACATGATTATGTGGAATAGATTACGGCTAGTCCTTCTATAGCTAACAATTTTATTGCTAGAATAATCAGAACAGCTGAAACTATGTCTACTCTTATGGAATGAATCACAAGAAAGTTACCCTCTTTTGTAATGATAAAATTAATTTAACTTCTAAAAGACGGTACTATGCAGAATGGCTCAAGGATTTAGTTATTAAGTAAATTATTTCTCAGTAAATCTTAAAAATACCCTATGCAGAAGACATAAGATTTCTCTTTATTCATTACAAACATATATTAATATTAGGGAACATTATTTATATGTAGGTTAGTACACCAAGAGTTACACCTTATCATGTAAAAAGTTTTAATGGGGCTTTTTAAATGTAGTATATTTTTTAAGATCACAGTGTTAATATCTCCCTGCTTGTGATTGGATTGGAAAGTAAGCTCAAACGGTTACATATTTGTTAATATAAACATGGCAATACATATCCATAGAGGTGTTCAACTGTGAGTTTAAGTAAAACAAGGAGTTGTGCTTCTTACAGGGCAGTCACAGGACAAGCAGTGGTTTTCAAAGGCCAGGACATGAGGTGAAAACAAACACATGACGAATATTTAGAAAAATCTATGAATATGTGACTCACTAAATTCCTGGCAAGTAGTACCTAATAAAAAGTTGTACTAGTTCTGCCTTGCATTACAGACTTAGACTTATAAGAATCAATCCCTCAGTTTTCCATTCACATAAGAAAATTGCTTTGAATTAAACTTTTGCCTCTGGACTGTTCTTTCTTATCCCCACTCCAGCCATCAATACTGAAGTGATAAAAGAATCAACTATTAAAAATCACAAAGCCACAGAAACATACAATTTCCTGGTGCGTTTTGAAGTAGTTTAATTGGATATAATTAAAAGTCTTACTTGGGCAAACTGTTTTGAAATAATGTTTGAAAAGGCAAATTTTATGCAATACTTTTTAAAAAAAGTATCTAAATGCACAATATTGTCAATATATCTCACCAGTCTAAATATACTGCTGGAGAAGTTATTTTGTCTGTTTAATATAACTATTTTTTCCCAAAGTCTCTAAAATTAAGAGTTTTCACTGTTCCCTTTTGGGGAATCTGGGAACAGAGTTCATATGTGTATATTGTTCTCTTTTATATCTTTAAAAAAAACCTGTAAGGTTTCAAGGTTTGCAAATTAACTAAATAAAACAAAGCCCCATGATTATTGCCATTAAGACTTGTTTTGTTTAACTGCTTCTAATATTCATCAGAGGATATACATAAATATATATATATATGACGTCCAAGTCAAACTTGAAGGAATCATCATTTGGGTCTTTCAGGCTGGAGACTATCAGTCAGACACTTGAGTTGCTCTTCCCCAAGTTTGATTTTGTCCTCCAGCTCTCGCTGTTCTATTATGAGGGCTGACTTCATTTTGACAAAGTGCTCATAATCTGCAAGGCTTTCATCACTTAGATAGTTGGCCAGAATATCAAAGACAATGCGTTCCCTTCGATCCAGGTTTTCTTTCAGCTCCTTTGCATCTTCATGCTGTTGTGTAAGTAACTTCTGTTTTTCTACCAGAATCCGCTAAGGGAACAAAACAGGAAAAATGCAGTGATCAATGCATTTAGCTTTAGATTCCATTTCCATAATGCACATTCTCCTATCATTGTTTTAAAGGAAAAATGTTAGGAAGACCTAGATGCTTCTTAAGCAAATAGTAAAATTATAAAGCAGCTTTCTGAATTTCATGATTTGGTGGAACATTTTAAAACATATACTGTATAATCAATGGCAGTGCTCCCATGTCTCAAATTTAGTATGTTGATGAAAATTTGATTTACTCTCTGCTATGTGCGCTTTTTTATTCTTAGAGTACTGTTCTACAAGCTTTAATTAAATTATGTCTTCAGGGACATCTTGTGATGACTTGTTCAGCCCCATTACCATCTTAGAGTGACCACCCTAGAAATGGGTACAACCTCAGAGGCTATGTGAGGATTCTATTCCTGGCTCTAGTGTAGGTTTGGCTCAAAAGAAGTTGGAGAATGCAGATTTCTCTTGAGAACATCACTTGGGGATGGCCCACTTAAGGAAATCACAGTATATCTGACTGGTTCCAAATGCTCTAGGCCCTCCAACTTCACTTCAAAATTGCAGCTTATTAAGATGGAGGCCCAGAGTCTGAGGTGTCCACATAAAGCATTCCTTGCCTGATAAATGAGGACGAAAAATATTCTCTATAGTGGGATGGATCAACAATTTTGCATATAAAACAGGTCAGGTAGAACAAAACCACTGCTGAAGTAACATCTCTCTAGCATAACAGCTTTTGAGTAAAATTGATTTCTTATTTTGAACCAAGAAGGCTACTCTCAATAAGACAGGAGTCTATGTATATACTTGGGCTGGCAAAAACAATATAACATGGTGCAATTAGACAGTTCTTCCTCGTACAACAATAATACAAGTGCCTTACCCTTTCTTCAGAAGAAGCATTTTCATCCAAGTTGTTTAATGCATTTTCTACCCTGGCTAGGCGACCAGAGAGCGATAGCAGGAGGTTAACCACTTTGTCTAGATCTCCAATAAACATTCGAAACTTGTCAAATTCATTGGGTTTGCAGACCTCCTTTACAACTACCTCTACTTCATCTCCAAGCAGATTATTGGCTTGAATGTCTTCCAAGAGTGATTCTCGAGCTTCTTTTAGCACTTTTAGTTTTCGACTAATGCTATCTATAAGCTGTTGCTGAAAAAAGAAAAGAGAGGGGCAAGCTCAATTTATGAGATATAGTTTATTTATTTATTTGATTTATTTGGCTGCTCATATCTTGACTCTAAATGGCTAGATGATGCAACTACAAGATAACAGAATCTTGCCAAAGTTGTCTATATAGTTTTGTTATTCAGAAAAATCATTGCAAGCACAAACATGCTTGTTTCAAATGGGTTAGAGCAGCTGTTAATATTCTCTTACCAGAATGGTTGTAAAAGTGTGTGCTGTGTGAAACTTCTGATTTGAGATTAAAAAAAGGCAGTGATTAAATCATAACTATCAACTAAATAAGATAACAGAAATAAATATTTTTATTGAATAACTCTCTTAAAATTGATCTCATTGTATTCGCAGAAACTTTTCTATACCACAGTTTGATATAAAAATGGTCCACAAAACAAAAACAAAAGAAAGTGTCCCCAAATCAATGTAAATTATAACAGAGTTGAAACAGAGAACTGAGATGTCTAACCCAAAATAAAACTCTTTAAAAGTGACAGAACAAGTATGTTATTACTGCATGCCTAAAAGTAATCAAGGATAGTTAACTGAATGTCCTGTGAGGAAGACATTTCACAATAATAAAATCCCAGTGCCTTTGGCTCTTTTTAGTAAATATCTTTTTTGTCTCATATACGCATGCATTTTTATTTTTGTCTCTTTCTTTCATGTGCACACAGAAATTGAAAAAATAAAAGAATCTTTAGTGTGGCTGAGGTCCAGATAGTACATACATTTTTTTCAGTATGTATTTTTTAAAGTACATTTTTAAAGACTTTGATTCTTGTATTAATTATTCCTGGACAAAGCTATATCATGAATAGTAAAAGGCAACTGGCTTATTTGACTGGATAAAACTACTTGAACCAGTATTTTTAGTTTCAGAGTTGACGTCAAGGTTTTAAATAGCTGATGACTTATTGTTCTGTGCTTGACTAATACAGGCGCAGCCACCCAGAACAGGGAATTCCTTTTCCATAAGATTCCACCTGGCTACGTGTTCCATTTGAATTATGCAATCGCCTGGGTGGGGAGATTTAAATCTCAGCCATGAGACACTGTCTAATGAAAAGTAATTCCCACGCAACTGCACTTCTGTTTATAGAGCACCTCAGATAATTTACTGTTGAAATTGTGCAAAATTGTTGTTCCCCTTTATTAAAGGATAGGATATATTAACAGATCAAACTTGAGAAGGATCATAATTCTGGTTGTTAATTTTTTTTTTTAATCTGAGGAAGATATACTTTACAAAAATCATTTTTAAGATAACTCCTGTTCTTACTCAAATATTTGCCTGATTTATGTACATGTGAAAAGAACTATAAGTAGTTATATAAAGAGCAGTCATTACCTAGGTGGATATGGAAATATCTGCAAATAAAAAACCAAGTTCAGAGAACTTTTACAGCCCAAGACTAACTCTCAGTTGCATATATTCTCTACAACTGCATTTAATATTACTGTCAGGCAGAAATATTATAGTATACCTTGCTCATACCACGAAGGGTATGTATTATAAATGACTTTATCTTGATTATATACAGTGAAAGTCCTAGTTTCCCTTGCTTTTGCCACTTCAATTTATGTGTTGCTTAATTAATTACAGTAATCAAATGTTAATGAAAATGGATCTAGATTTATCAAAATCCTTACAAAGCCAAATCTCAGAGTGCTGATCTTGCTAAGTCATCCTTCAAATATCCTGAAATTCTCACTTCTTTACTTTGGGCTTATAATTTTCTTATTTTGTTACAAGTATTTATACTACTTTTAAGACCCATATATAGTACCTCTTTTAAAGTGGGCTATATATTAACATAATGAGAAAATAAATAACCCAGAGTAAATATCTGTAATTAAACAATGCTGTCTGGAGCCAGCAACAGATAAAAGAATCAGCAATAATTTAAAGAATTTCCATTTAGAAATTTTCATTAGTTTCAAATTAATTAAGTAAAAATTGAAATGATTAACATGGCTCTTAAAACCGGAAGGCTATGTGAATTTCCTTTTGGAAGAAGTTCTGAAATGATGGGCTGAGAGTTAATTCACCCAGAAGGTTCTTTTTCTTGTGTCCAGCAACCAGTTGGACTTAAGAATGGTCCTTAAAAAAGACATCAGAGTTTGATCTAAATAACTGTGCTGATTCAGATGGATGAAAGCACCTCATAAATAACTGATATCCTGAACAGGTCCACTGAGAAGTAAATGTTGTTGAACTGAATGGTATTTTCTCTCAGTTATGTGTATACAGGATTTAACTCTAAAAGTTAGCTGTAATTCAGCAATGCACACTCATTTTTTTAACTTTAAATCTCTTCTCATCTTTATGCCTAGTAAATTATTCTGTATTCTGAAGTGGCATTACTGCTGACACTTTACTTCCTTGTTTAGTTCAATAGGAGCTTCTCTCTTTAACCTTGTGAATACTGGATATTAGGTACTGATGCTTCCTCAACACTTCTGGTCTGATCAAGTTTTATTTTCAGCTGAACAGGCTATGAGACAGATCACTAGACAGTTTAAGCACCATGGTTTCCAACAATAAGTAATACTGAAAACAATCGTGACAAGCTTACCTTCTTCTCAGACAAATTGTGGTCTAACTCATTCTCAGAATCCTCCTCACTTTGCTGCTGCTGCTGCTGCTGCATATCCTTCATCTTGATCAGAAGTTCTGCCTTGGGTGCAGAGGTGCTATAGTAAGTGGAATTACTTGTTAAGGGGATGGCCAAAGACAGAGACAGCTCCTCTTTCCTAAGCAAAGATTTAAAAAAATACTAGTTTTCAATTAACTTTTTGACATGTTATACACTGAAAGCAAGATAATAATTATTTTGAAATACTATTTGCAGTATGTAGATTGTAGGGTTAAGAGAAAGATCCCCACAGAGACAATGCATAAGATAACCATATTTTATCACTCTAAGAACCTAGCTAGAGAGACAGGAAATTAAAGGAAATCTCTCAAAATTACACCCTAAAATGTTGATTTCTATTTTACTTTTAATTGATGTTCTCTGACCATATTTAGAATTCTATGTCCTGTCCTTGATTATACGGGCAATGGAAGAAAGGTAATATTTAAATCTGTCTGTGGCTTTCATTAGCCTTGACTATCTAATCCCATAAGCACACATTTGGTGAAATGTATAGTGAAATACATGGGTCCTTGAGTTTCATAATCCACAGTTCTAATGTTGAAAAGAATCTATTACTAAAAATACCCTTCTCTTAACACTAGAGAAGTTAAGACTGAAGTCAGTTCATTGACAATAAATAAAATAAAATAAAATAAAATAAAATAAAATAAAATAAAATAAATCTTTTGGAACATATTCAATTAAAGTGGGTTTACTTTTTTCCCCAAATAAATAATAGAGAAAGCAATGGTGTCTACAGGGGGTCAAAACAGGCAAGATGGTGGTTGTGGTATCACAACCCAAGCCCTGCTCCTTTTAGAGATCAATGCACACACATACAAAGGGACAAGCCATGGACTGTAATCCTGTGACCAGTATCTTGCCTGTACCAACTCCCCTGGTAGATGCCACTGAGAGGAATAATAGACAGCATACAAAGAATCAATCTGAGAAGAGACTTCACAAAATTCAATATTTTCTATCACATACAATGGCCAAAAAAGTAATCAAGGTGATTGGTTCCATCCCTCAACTGGCTATACTTAATAGACACAATATTAAGAGGAACATTTGAATACCTAAGATATAAATAGCTCTCTCCCTCTCTTTGGCACGAAGCAACACAAACTAAACAATTACTTACTTGGAAATAAGAGTTCAGGTTTACTTTTTTCCATGTGTGCATGTGTGTGTGTGTGTATAAATAATATTGAAACAGAAAATTATTTCCCATCCCCATATTAATTTTCAGTTAGATGTCTGCAATTTCTTATGATTCTCCCCCAACTACTAAAATCTACAGAAATATCCAAACTGAAAATATTATTTGGGCAAATCCCAATAATACATAAAGTTTATTTTAAAAATCAATTTAAAAATCTTTTATATATTTTCTCAGTTATTAGTTTTACTGATAAGCAGTTCTTGTATGACAAAATAATGTTGTTCTAGGGCTAAGTGATCTGTACTTATGGTGAATCAGACTAAAATTTACCAGAATATTTACTATTATACTTTTTAATTTTGTTATTCAAATTATTTTTGAATTTATTTATTACAATTATATCCAGCCTTTTCTCTGATAACTCAAGACAGCATACATGGAAGTTTTCTCTCATTCTACCCCACAACAAGTCTGAAAGGTAAGTTGGGCTGAGATAGTACCTGCCCCAAAGTCACTCACCGATCTGAATCAGCATCTTCCATATCTAACACTTATCAACAAACTGTTGATAATTGGTGCTAATCTAAACTACCCACTCTTAGTTTGATCTCGGAAAACCTACTGCCTCTCTCAGATTGCTCAGAAATCAATGTTGCTGATGAGTTTTAATTACAAAATGACTGAAGAATTCCCTGTTCTCTGCAAAAACCCTTTACTTGTGATGAAAGATAACATTTATAATAAAAAACTAGGAAGTAGATGAAGAAATGGAAACAATTCTTTTACCCAGCAAGGCACACTGAATCTGTCAACAACAAACATATATAATAGTGAAATAAAATTTCCACAATTGCTAAGTACTTAAAAGCTTTTGATAAACAACTGAGAGAAATGGGCATTCATCCCTAGTTTGTAAGTTTAACACAAGCATTTGCCTCCTGAAAACAGAATGTGGATCTTTCAGTCTTCTCCAAGTTGGCATTTACCCAGCTGGGTTAGAATCTTAATCCCAACCAGAATTGGGTATGTACTTGGGGGAAAGTTACAGTAGTTATGTTTTTATTGATTACATAACTTATATTTTAATAGAATAAAACTGAAAACAAACAGAGTGTGTGTGCACATAAGACAAAAAAAAAGAAAAGAATAAAGGATAAAAGCATTAGTTTGCGATGGAAAAAAAATATTTACTCACTTCTCCTCTTCAGTTTTGGGTGATGAAACTTTTAAAAGAAACTTTCTACGATGTTGAGCTTCTTCCAAGAGATGTTCATCTTTGGGAAAGATTCCCTCCATTAGATCCATAGTGGTTTTTATTTTCACATTTGGGTCCAAGATGTCTGCTAATGATTTATCCTTGCCTACTATTTCTCTAGCTAATTCTTCTGATTTCCAGTCTTCAACTGTCTTTTCTTTGGCTCTCACATAGTTAACTGTATGGGTGGACATGTCATTCTCCTTTATGGTCCTCCCAAATGTTTCAGTAGGTTGCAAAGAAGACAGGCTTGATTGGTTCTCAGGCTCTATTTCCACACTTTGTCTTGTGTAAGCACAGAAACGTGAATAGGACTGTTCAGAAGTGCTAAGTGTCTTAATCTGGTCTTTCTCTAAGCCGCTTGGTAAAGTAGGAGTCTCTATTGTGGTCACAAGATTCTGTCTACTTGCCTTCTCTGAATGGCTCTCAGAATGTACAATCTTGATTGGAACCATTTTTACTGTTGTATTGTTATCCATCACTCTTTCAATTCTTTAGAAAAAAAAATTAACTGCTAAAATAGCGCATTACATATAGTACACAAATACTATGTTGACTGATACAAATGTATATAGATTAATAATAGCCTACTTATGAATTTAAGAATGAACATCACAGTTTTGTTTTTCACATTCCCATGTATATTTTAAATATCCTTATTTCTACTGGACACTAGCCATTGTTACTAAAGCATAAGATGTACAAAGGACTACACTTAACTATGAGATTTCAAAGATATTGAACATGTTTTATCCTTTTTAAAAAGATTAACAAAAAAAATAATATCAAGCTTAAGTGTGCTAACTGATCCTACATGTATTTATATGAAGAAACATCCACTCTGTTCAGTGATAATTCTTTCCAATAATGTGCAAAAAACCTGTAATCTAATTGAGGTTTCTATTGTTTATAACACCTAATGTTTTGTAAAATTTAAGATAGGTGTATTAGACATAGTTGAAATAATTGAACAGCAATTTATAAATGAATATGAAATTTGAATTAGCATATGAGACATACATTTGGTACATTCAAATGTTGCTATCACTACACTAATGAAGATTACTTCATTTAGGGCATTTATTAAAGGTAGTCCTCACTTAATGACTGGAATTGGGACTGAAATTTCCATCACTAAGTGCAAAGTAGTGACTGCATTGCTTAGCAACAGCAATCCCCGCAGTCCCTGTTGCTGTTGTTAAGTGGGGATTGTGGGTTATTAAGTGACGACCTTACATGACTGCGACTTGTGACTTTCTGTCAGCAGGAAGTTGGAAGTCCTGGGTGGCTCACAAGCAGGCCAACAGACAGGTAAGTGCTACAAAGTGCAGTCAGGTGGAGCATAGCTAAGATGTGGTGTGAGCGCGGCTGGGTGTGGGATGGCTACTGAGGAGTGCAGAAGGGTGCGTAGATGGGTGCCACAGCATGGGTATGGCCAGGGGGTGGCTGCTGCAGAGTGTGGGAGGGCACACAGGTAGTGAACATGGCTGGGTGGGGGGTGGCTACTGCAGCCCAGTATGAGCGCAGCTGTGTGTGTGTGCACTATGGAGTGCAGGTGGGGAGTGCTGTGAGCAGATGCATGCTATGGAGTATGAGATCTCCATGATCTCATACTCTGTAACCAGGCACCTCAGGAGCAAGTTGCGACTTTCCCTGCCAGCTTCCCCGTTGACTTTGCTTGTGGGAAGCTGGAAGGGAAGGTTGCAAATGGCAATCATGTGACCACATGATGCTACAACTGTTGTAAGTACAAGTTGGTTGCCAAGTGCCCAGATCGCAATCACATGACTGAGGGGTGCTGGGGGACCAGAAGTTCAAGGATTGGCTGTAAATACCACTTGTTCAGCACTGTCATAACTTCAAATGGTCACTGAACAAGTTGTCACTACCCAAGGTCTACCTGCAGTACACACAGATATGAAACTGTGAAATCCTGTTCAGTGGACATTCAGTGTGCCAATGTTCATTGGCCACATTTGCTATCTATGTTTCAACTATCCTTTGATGAATTGCAGCTTTTCTAGAGTGACAGTGGTACATGCAAATTAAATACTTAGACATTCTCAATAAATCTCCCTTTGTACAGACTTTGTTATGTAAACCTAGAGAGATTCCTATTTTAAGAACAAATGCAGAGCTGGGGAAGAGAACTGAAGGGATACTTGTGGACTGAGGCTGAGAAAACAGGAGACTAACATCATTCCCCAGAATCTCAGATTAAAACAGAAAGTTCCAGAAAAAAGTCCAAATAAAAGGAAGTAGGAGTCTTTCCTTCAATAAAATTGCTATTTCTGTACAAAGATGTGTACATGATTTGATCAGTTTTTTCTTTTTATTATGCGTCATGCTAAGTCAAGTCTAATTATTGTTGTTGTTGTTATTATCAGCATTATTTCTCTATAAAACTAGTGACTTCTGTATAGTTTTAGCCTCTACTCATTCTTCAGGTTGAAAATATTATTTGTATTACAACTTTCTTATGAATTGTGCTTTGAACTCCCTAGAGCATCTCTTTAAAGATCCTGCCAGAGAAGCTGCCAAGCAGAAACTCTAAAGCAGGAGTTGTAAAGCCAGGGTATGTGAAGATCTATAGGACTTACTTACTTAGTTACATATGTATGCATGTAGGCTTATTTCTGACTGAACAGTTTACAGGCTTCTGAAAGAGGAGGTTTGAGAGCTCCAGCCTTCTACCCTATGGGCCTGGCTCCTTTGCACTTCCCTAGAAATGATTAAAATTTAAGAGTATAGCTCTCCACAATGAGAATGAGTAGAACCATCTAGAGTAGAAGTTAAACAAAATAAGTATGAGATTGTTAATATGAAACAATTTTTGGATATTCACTGTAATGTATATTTACTTTGGCCTTGAAGTACATTATTGCCACTGTAAAATATATATACCAAGAGGCTTAAAAGCAGCATATATGGTTTCCTATTTTTATTCTAATGTATCCTATGAGGTAAGTTAAATGGCACAGTGTCCCTGTAAACTTTGTGATTGGGGATTTCAATTCTTCCCAGATATATCTGTTTTCTTTATTGGCGTTACAAAGTATGAATAATACAGCCCATTTGTATTATTCACAAATCACAATTTCAGCATGCAAGGTTTTGGAGGGCAGCAAAACAGGGACTCTACAGCTTTATATAAAATCCTGGTAGCTTGTACTAGTGAAAAGCTAGTTTCCTTGGTAGCTGTTTTGTTTGTTTTTGTTTTTAAATGTTCACTCTTGTTGGCTATAATGGGAAAGAAATTGTTATATTAATCTTATGCTGATCTGGCTACCAGGGGAGCAAAAATGTTTAGGAAACGGCAGTTCTATGGCTGTCTTTGCTTCACTTTGGGAAGTCCTATTCTGCCGGCAATTCAGCTAAGTCCAAAGAACTGTCACAGTAATGCAGGGCTCCATGGAGCCACCATCATCTACCCTTGAAATGTCCTTGTCCACTTAGAGAGGCTAGCTCTAGAGATTAACATTGTTTTGCTCGCTATTCTGGCAACAATGATAGCAGTTTTCAACCTTTTATAAAAATAATTCTCAGATTTGCATAGTAAGAAAGGTATCAACCTCTGGCTTGAAAACATTCAAACGTGTTTGTGATAGCATATATGAGACAGGATACATATGCATTCTGTTTTCTTTGGATTTTATTAACGTGGTGATATGTGTGATACACAAAATATTCCATGGGAAATTCAGAGTTTTAGGCTAATACAGCACCACATGACTGCAATATATGTTCATATCTTGTGCTTCCTATTCTTTGGCTAGTTGAAGTATATTCAAGAGCTGTTAATGAGAGTCACTGATAAAAGTTAAGCATGTTACACTGAACTCAGTTTGAAAGCTGAAATAAATAAATTGTATGTAATTTCTCTTGAGATAAAATAACATGCTTCTAAAACTCTCTAGAAAGCTTAACATTAGACTGCTGAAGGTATGCATTGAAATTGTCTGGAAACCTTAATATTAAACTGGTGAAAGAATCCAGAAATAAAATATTGTAACAAATGTTTAACTGTTTGGGTAATGTAACTTACCTTGTGGAATTTTCATCCTGAACAGCCACAGGTGGCTTATCAGTCAGCTTTGGTGGAGCAAACTGTGGTGAAGGGGATCTTGAGGCTTCCATTCTAGATTTTAGAAGGTAATGATAGGCTGAAGGAAGGGGAGGTTCAGATTTGAGATGTCTTTTTTCTTCTAAATGCTGACAAAAATTCTCTGTGGATGCCAGCTCTGCACTTACAAATTTTCCAGAAATCTTTGCAGGAACCTGAGAAGGTGATGAGCTGTCTGCAACTATATTGGCGGCAGCAGGGGAGGCTTGAGCTGGTCTGTTGGGCACTGTCAGTAAAGATTCTGAAGAAGTAGCAAGTGAAGTTGAGTAACTATCCTGTCGCCTGTGTTTCTTATCTCGTTTGGGTGGGGGAGGCCTCTGAGGCACAGAGCCATGTTTCTTATTCAACAGTACAGCATTCCCCTGTAGATTTTCCTCTGCTTTGATATGTGTTAAACAGAACTGATTTTTATCTGATATTTGTAGTCCAGAAATCATAAGAGGCAGTGCAGCATAATCTTTGCTTTTCTCATTTAGATTTTCCTGTGAATATCTGTAATCGCTGGGCAATGTCCCAGATCTACCTTGGCTCCGCTGTGATGTAACTGTGGTCTGTCCGGCATGGGAAGGCCATGCAGATACTTTCCACTGGTTTCCTGAGCTGTAGTCCTCCTGAACTGTTAGTTCTTTCTTGCAGTCTTCTGGGTATCCTTTATCAGATGATCTAGAAAAAGGGAGGAAAAGAGGGATTATTAAATGGTGAATTATTTGAACATCAGTAAGTATGGCACAGTTAGCAAATATATTTCTATTCTTCAACTATCTCTAACCTTGCACTAGTAATTTATGTACTCTTTGTAATAAAACTGGCTCTCAAAAAACTGTAGCAGAAGATTAAGGTTATGTAGAATAATGTTTTGTAACATAACTTTACAGTTACTTCAGAAATTTATATATATATATTAGCAAAGATACTTCATTTTCATGTGAACTAAATGAGCTGGCCACTTGAAAAAAAATGTACAAAATATTTTATCTCATTAAATAATTTCCAGATCTATAGATATTCAAATGAAATTTTCATTTCTCCTTTTCCTTTAAAACACTGCAATAAACTGTACTAAAAAAAAAAAATCAATTGAAAAGTTTAAATTAGAGACAAAAAATACCAATACAATTACAATACAAAGAAGAACATGTAGAACAGAGGAAATGAAAATATTTTACAAAAGATTGTAAAATATGGGAAGGATCTGGACTGTAGTTCCACTAATTTAGACCAAATATGATTGTGGGTGAAAAAATTTATTATGTCCAAACTAGTAACTCCTGGGGCAAATCATGGAGTTATGTAGAAACAAATCCCTACCCACTCACAGAAATGAATAATGCTTGCAAAGGTATTTTGACACCAACAAAAGGATTTTCTTGCTTTTAAAATCCCTCACACAATGGTAGTACAATTTTTAAAAAGCAAATGTAAGTATCCAATTTGCAAGGGGCAGCCTCTATTAGAAACAAGCATCTAGATTCCTACACTAGCATAAAAAAGCACCTACATATCATGGATTATTATACAGTCTAGTTCTTATTCAGCTATTTTCCTGGTGTCTGCACAGTTAGCAGTTTTCCAACATATTTGCAGCCAGAAGTGCAGCTATAATTGGTAAGCTATTTTCCCAAGAAGAAATTACAGCTGAAATCCTTGGGAAACTCAATGTAGAATTAATACTCTCATCATGTTATACAATACAATTTTGACTATTAAAGATTATTCAATAGTGGAAAAAAAAATCCTTATGTGCAGACATGATGAATCAAGATACAGAGTTATATCTCAAGGATTCTTCCATATAAAGTCTCCTGTAGTATATAGATGACAGGGTATTGGAAGCTTTACTTAAAGTAATACAAAATGGGATACATGGTATTTCTGGAAGCATACTTAGTTTTTCAAATGTATAAGCTAAGTTGGTTCAGACTAAAAATTTAAAGAAACTATAAAAGATAGAAGGTCCTTTTTAAAATTTCCGTAAGTACACAATAAAAAGAATAGAACATGAATATAAAAACAATTAAGTTAAATAATTTATTTGGAATTTAAATGGGTTTCATATCAACAATTCCTAAAATATTTCATGTGACTAACTGAAAAGTTTCACTTCTTTTTTTTTTAAACTATTATTTAGTACTTAAGTTGAAATTATATAAAAAACAAATGATCAATTAACATAAAAAAAACACTAAAACAATAAGGGCGGCAGTAGTAGCACACACTGATGTGATTCAAACGAGTTACTGAGATATGCATGAATTTTATATAGTTGTGTACAGGTTTTTTGTGCTGCTTTGTTCCTCCCTTTTCATGAACCAGCCTGGTCTTTACATTCAAATGGGATAAAAATGATTAATTGTTCCAAAATAAGGCAGAATAAGGAATATTGCCTTAGTTATTTTCTGGTTACTTGAAGCCATCATCCCCATTCTGGACATATGGCTAACTTTGGCTTCCTGATTTATTTGCACACGTGAAGTGAAGCCAAAAGTGCATGTGCATACTTTGGGATATTAAACTGAATTGTGATTATCTGAATGAAGATATTAGATGATCAAAGTATGTTGCAAGAATTAAATCCAAGTAAAAATACCTCTGAGTCTCAGAAAGAAGACAGCTTTGCTCTTTGATTAGAGGAGGCTGGATAGATACTGTAAGTTTAGGAAAGCAGCTGAAACAGAGAAGCAGGACACTTAGGAATTCTACTGGTGGCAGGGCTGCTTACCGAACAAGAGCAATAAATTAGACATTTTGTAAAGTTACATATAATCAGTACAGCAAACACAGAGGTTAAAAACGTAGGTCTGTGGAATATACTTATTCATCTTTTTGAAAAATTCCAGAAAGCCATGATTTAATTTAAAACGAATTAATTACTGAAAAATATTTACATAATAACATTGTTTTTAACTTTATTAGAATATTTATGTGGAAATAAGGCTGGTTAATAGCAACAGAAGCAAGTAAAACAACAGCTATAAATGTTAAACTGTGATTGCGGTTTGCTTATAGAGTACATGCATGACTTGCTTAACATGTTTGTGCAGAGTGCATCTTTGTTGATCACGCTGTTTACTGCAAGGGAAAAGTAGCAAAAAGAATGCAGAATTACTGAGGGATCAGTTAGTCAAGTGTGCTTCAGAAGGTGTCTTCAGATTATGATCAAAAAGGCTAGGAGAGATGATAATGAACCAAATTTGGGAAGTGTAGTATGGCTTTTTGCCAGGGAAAGGGTTTAAAATAAAAAAAAAAAATTGTACAATTGTTATAAAAATGCATATGACTGTTTGAATAGATTTGAATTATGGAACATTTTGTGTGAATATAGAATTTAAGCTTGAGTGTTGGATGCATAAAAGGTGTATGTTTAGCTACCACAATTGGGACTGGCAACTCAGTCATTAAGAGAAGCGGTCTCTAAGTGAAACTGCAACTGTGCTTATGATCTTACTTCAGCTTTCCTTTGCTTCACAGACCTGCAAAGGTGAAAAATGCAAGGATTGGTTACAGTTATTTTTCATCACTGTTGTAACTGTGAATGGTCGCTAAGCAAGACAGTCACTGAACAAGGACTACCTGTATGATGAAAATAAAAAATGCACGAGAATGGAATATTTAGTAAATGGTTCAACATTAAGAAGTAACACAATGATGGGTGATGTCCCCTTGGTTGTTTAATGTATTTATGGATAAATGCAGAAATGATGCTTGTGATAATATTAGAGGTATGCTTGTTGGGGAAGTAAATGTATGTGTAATTTTATACACAGAAAATGCCATGTGATGTGAGAACCCAAATGATTTTCAGTGATTGATTTTATGATGCAACAAGGAATATGAATCTGAAAATTAATATATCAAAGACCAAGGTGTCTGACATGGATAAAGGACAGAATAATTTCAAGTTATGTATAAATGGTGAAAAAGTAAGTGGATGAATTGTGTACCCGGGTACTTTACTGAAGACAGGAAAATGATGAAGTTGTAAAATGTTCAAAGGTTGGAAGAAAGATAATGGGTAGTCTATTGCAAGGAATTAATGTTTCTTTAAAGTGACTAATGACTATATAGAAAGCTATGCTGCTATGCAGATTATAAGGAACTGAGAGTTGGCTATGTTAAGAGAAACATAACTGTAAGCTGAATGCAGTGGGAATGGAATATTTAAGAACTGAATGTGGTAAAACAAGAAAAGATAAGGCCAAACATGAATATGGGATGAGAATGGACCAAATACAAATGTGAATGACTGGTATGAAATAAAATATGCTCATATAGAGAGAATCAGTGAGAATCAAACCCGAAAACAAATGTATGATGCAAGAGTAAATGAAGTAAGAGGAAGAAGAAGAAACTCGTAGTTGGCTGGAGATGCTGAGAGCTTCAAAAATGCGGAAGGGTGGAAAATTCCCCCTAGCTTAAAGGACTTATCTGAATGGGAGTGTAGGAATGAGAAGAATGTAAAGAAGCATCCACGATGATCACTGTGACAGTGAAGGTGATAGGAAATCCAACTCTCATTGTGGTCCTGGAAAAGAGTATGAAGGATTTGAGATCTAACCCTGGTATAATTTCTGAATTACTATTCTCACTCGATCAGAAATGGTCATTTGATTTCGCTACCATTTCTTGAAATACACCACAGTTCCTTGCAATGTGCATTCTTGTCTTTGTAAGAGCCCAATATATAAAAGAGACAAGAAGTTAAAAGAAAAACCAATATATGAATCAGGGCATAGGCTGGTATAAGCCAGAATGGGTTGTAAGGATAAAGAAGTATGGGAGAGCTATAGTAAGTGAATGATTTAGTTAAATTCCTTCCTCTCTCTCTCTCTCTCTTCTTCTGTCTTTAATTTTGTTCTGTACACTAATTCTTACTCTTGTTCTGGGCTTTGCATAGTACTGTTTATGTCAGAAGGGAACGTGATGAGTATGCATGTACATGTATATGATTATGTCATTATTTGAACAGGTATGATTTTATTATGTTAGTTTTTTCCCAATGAAACTGCCTTAAAGCCAGCTTAGAAAATTTCATTCAACTCTTACGGCGTAATTTGGATTCAAATGTGCTCTTCAGCAAGCACTTTCCACTAAGTCACCTTATTCCTTTTGTCTTCTGTCCAGATGCAATTCTGCCCTGACAAGCTTTAGATTCATAATGGTAAGGAACCTTAAGGGCTAAATCATGAAATCCCAAGGCCCTGAAAGCAGAAAAGTGGATTTGAACAGGGACAAATTGAACTTGGGGGGAAATGAAACACCTCTGGCCTAAGTGCAGAGAATATTTTACCCTCAGTACAGGAGTACCCTATATGATTTACAAGTTCTTACAATTAATGAAAATCATGAGCAGAGGGAGGGGAATGCTTACCTTTACCCTGAGAGTTACATTATGTGCATAGTCCCATACAGGATTCAACTCTGATCACACAATGTTGCAATGAAATGTTTATCAATTATCTTGAAGTGCACCGATCAATACAGTAAACTTATGGTTTGGGATTTTTTTTCAATTTTTCCTCTGTATATTATTGGGTAATTCCCAGTTCCAGATTTAGCAATTATGTCAATAGCTAGGAAGTTGATTGTTATTGGGATTTGGCTTTGGTTAGTTTGTTTAATTCTATTTTACATTGTATCATTTGTAGGGTGATCAAAGCCTTTTTAGAATTGAATGGCATATATATAGGAGATATAAATATATTAACAAAGGTACTACTTGTCTGCTTACCTTGGCAAATCCAGGGCAATCGTTATGTTAATTAGGCACATATTCAGTTTTGTTATTAATGGACCTTCTTTAAAATCATAAAACTATGCAGCACAGATTGTAGAACAGTTAGCTTCCAAATTCAAACATTTTTTATTGTATGCTGCCCAGAGTCACATTTTGTGAGATGGGTGGCCATATAAACATGAATTAAATACATAAATAAATAAACCTGTAGTGTCTTTTTGTTTTTATTTTTTGTCATGGTAACATTAATACAGTATTATAAATGGAGAACATTTAACAAAAAGACTTTTCAAATGGATCACATGTATGCTGCATTCTTAATTTATTAAAAAGCAAAAGTTGTTAGTATACATTTTATTTTTCATTATATTTCTTAATGTCCATGACAGGTCGTTCTCAAAATTTCAGATGCATATTCAGGTATGTGCTCATGCAAAGAAAATGAACACTAGAGAGATGTTTTAATACTGAAAAGAAACACATTCTGCATCCTGGCATGCAAATCTGAGAAGGACCAATAGGGCATCCAGCCAAAAAGACATCATGGCATTCTTGAATGCCAGTAATCTCCAATGCAATCTTTTAAAACATCTTTTGATTTCTATCACAATTATCAAATTAGCAAAATGCATAAAATCAATCTGAAATTCAGATGATCTTAAGATTTTTGGTTCATTTCAAAAGAGATACTGTTCAGGAGATATCACAGCAACAGGAATCTTTGGTAAAAGTAACTGATTGATCACTATTATACTAGTACAGAAAGGGTTGTCAAAAAATGGAATCTGCATTCAATATGGAGGATATGTACATTACAGACGGTGATTTTTCATGCAACACATGCTGATCATATTACCCCAAAAAGACTGGAGCTTACTGTTCAGAAAGGACAAAAGAAAGAAAGCTTCAAGCATCAGAAGCACCCAGAGGCAAAACCTGTAAAGTGTTACAGCAGTATTAACTTCCACAAGTCCACTCTGAAGGATTTTACAAACATAGCTTAAAAATGCAACTCAATGTGCTTTATGGCTTAGGTTACATTCCTTCCACAAAGAAAACAAAACCCACCCAAAAAAAAAAAAAAAAGCCAGCTCCTAAAAATAAAGTAAATTTTAATTAAAAAATAAACGTCCCCTTTCCCCCAAACTCATTATACAAAGTTAAAGCCTGAGAAATCATCTGGCATTTTAAAATCTCACTCTATAATAACTGAATCATGGCATATTTCCATGCTTGCTCAAATATGGTATTGGCCGTACAGCTATACATTTCCACCAAAAGAAAATGATAGCTGTTCTGCTGCCTTACATTCTAACAGTTGCTTCACTTATTTTCTCAGAGTGCAGAACATACATTGAAGCAATCTAATGTTCGCTTTAAAATAGATTAATGTGAAAGCAGGGACTTGGCTTATTACAAAACCAGGTCCCTCAATTTTCTATTTTGTCCTCATTAACAATTAATAGTATAGACTGCAGGGCAAGTCATCACTGGTAGAATGTGGCTTTCTTCATCCTTGTATAAAAGTTGAAGCTGACAAGGCAGGAACCAGCATGCCAGAGGAAACTACAATTAAAAAACACTGAGCAGATGGCACCCAATTTCAAGACCGGGAACACACTGTCCAAATTTCCATTTATTCAAAAAGGTGACAGAAAAGCCCTAGAATTGCAATCCTGGAAAAAACCTATATATAGGGTTTGAACTCTGTGGTCTGTAGGAGGCAGATCTGTGTACATATGAGTTCTGTTTACAATTAAACAACTTCTCTGGCTACGTGACTTCTGTGAATTTCTGCTGTTAGCAAGTCTATGGGTATGGAGTTTAAAGGTCTGGAGAGTCCAGAAGAAATTATGTAATCAATAGTAAGCTGCTGAATGAGATATGGATTTAAAATGCAGACAAGAAAAGAAAAAGGAATAAAGAACAAA